CTGCCATGTCTTTCCCCATCCCTGTCAGCACCAGAGGGAGACCCTGTGCTTCCTAAACCCAATGGTGGATTTCCTCTTGTGACACAGAAACACACTGAGCCCATCTGCCCTTTGTTCTCACTGCTCTGGGAAGGTGGGATTTACTCCCAGCAGGAAGGTGACAGAGATGTCTGTGAGGGCTGGAAAGGAACCAACTGAATGATGACAGGGAAGGGGATGGGACCACTGTCACTGGTGTCACCAATCAAGTGTCTGATCCAGGAATTATAAGTTTCAAGTCCTGGGTGTGCAGGAAGGGCTGACCTGTGTGTCCTAAAGAGAGGATGTTGACTTCATCATCCTATGAATAGCCTCAGGGAGACTTGCTAACTTCCTGTGTAGGTTGAGCTGTGGCTGTGGTCTGCCCATGTCCTCTTGATCTTTCTGGGATGTCATCTGTCTAGGTAACTCCCCTGTGACCACCCTGTGTTTCCCTCTGAGTGACACCAGGAGGAAGGGACTGTCAGGAGGTAAAGTAGCATCCTCAGAGACATGGGAAGATGGAATGTTAGTAGGCTTGTGGGAGGACTGGTTGGAATCAGGTGTCTCAGTTAGCTTTCTATTGCTGTGATAAACACCATGACCAAAGTAACTTGGGGAGGAGAGGGTTTCTTTTGTCCTATGGTATACAGTCCTATGATGGGAAGTCCTAGAAGGAACTGAAACAGAGGCCATGGAGGACTGAGACCACCATCTCAGGGGTGGCATTTCTCACAGTGGGCTGGGCCCTTCCACATCTATTATAAATTAAGAAAATGTTCCACAGACTTAACTACAGGCTGTGGGGTTTCTGCAAATGCCATGGCCCACAGAGTAATGATCAATGTGAGGCAAGAAGGAAATCCTGTTCAACAGGACTCAGGAGCCTGTGTTGGTTCAGACTTCAGAATTCTGGCCGCAGGCAGATTATTCGAGACTCTTTAAACACAGTACAATCTGGAAAAAAGTTTCCTGGTGTATCATAATTTCATATGCACAAGGAGACATAATTACATCGAAACTCTTCTCAAAGCACATGTCACTTCTTCCATGAAATTGGGCTCTGTAGATAGGCTACATGTGTTATCCTGAGGGCCTAGGAGAGGATCTGGTGTGCTCTCCATTACACAGAGAGCACAGCGGTCACCTAGGTTACTCACCATCTCTGGTCCTACATGTGGGTGCCTTGGGGAGCCCTTGGCCATATAGATAGCACAGAGGTCCTCTATACTGTTAACCACTTCTGGTCCTGCTTGGAGCTTGTGGGAGCCAGATATGGCCTGGCCCTACAGATTATGCAGAGATCACCTGGGCTATGGGACACCTCCATTCCCAGCCTTCTGGGCAGAAATCAGGTTGTAACTATCCAGCATGTTTAACATTCCTGGTTTTCCTAGTGCTTATCTGTGAGTGCAAAGACCTTTGTGCTCCCTACAACAGGCTAATCTGATGGAGGCATTTTCTCAATTGAGGTTCCCTCTTCCCAAATGACCCTGGCATTTGTAAGGTGACTAAAACATAACAAGCATACCAGGCTTTGAGATTGTGTGTCTGAGGGAAATATTCTGTGTATCCCAATGTCTCCCTCTGGCCTTCACTATGACATCTTCAGCTCATCTGTGAGTTGTAGAAAGGAGGCTCCAGATGCTGTGTAGGCCTTTATAACTGTCTATAAGATGCCCAAGGGAACCTTTGAATATCTATCTAGCTTTCACTAGAAATGGTTATTGCAGTGGAGATGTCACTGTGATTTTGATATGTATTTCCACAATGGTTAATGACATTGAATTTTTTTTCATGCACCACTTGTACATCTTCTTTGGAGGGACTTCTGAGCCTTTGGCCCACTTTATTTTTTTTCTGTCTTTTTAAAAAAACTTTTATTCTTTTCTCATACATTACTTCCCAAGTGCAGTTTCCTCTCCCTCCACCCCTCCCCGTCCCTCCCCCATCTCCCTTCTTTCTCAGGTCAACTCCTCCTCTGTTTCTCTTAAAAAAAAAAAAAAAAAGAAGCAGGCCTCCCAGGGATATCCAGAGAACATGGCTAACAAGATACAATAAGACTGGGTCCAAACCCCCATATCATGTCTGGATGTGGCAGTCCAGTAGGAGGAAAAGTGTCCAATGCACAGGCCACAGAGTCAGAAACCCCCCATGTCCACTGTTGGGAGTCCCACAAGAAAACCAAGCTACACAACCATAACATATGCAGAGGACCCAGCTCATACCCACACAGGATCCATGTCAGTCCCTACAGTCTCTTGGAGCCCCTGTAAGCCCTGCTTAGTTGATTCTGTAGCCTGTGTTCTCATGGTGTTCTGGACCCCTCTGGCTCCTACATCCTTCCTTCCTCCCCATCTGGTTCTGCCTAGCGTTTAGCTGTGGGTCTCTGCATTTGCCCTTTTTTAAAACTAGATTTTGTTTTCTTTTCCTTGATGAGTTGTATTTTGCTTTGGTGTACTTCCCTTTCTGCTTCTTCTAATACTGAGACTAGGTGTTTTTATCATATACCCAAACTCTCATGTCCTGTTGATACTTTTGGTTAAACTCATTGACATTTCCTGAATGATCCAATTTCTCTACTTGGTCTTCCATCCCCAACTCTCTATTTTCTACCTGAGCCATTATGTTGGTGAGGCTTTCCAAGGAATTTTGTTTTGTTTCATTTCATTTTGTTTGGAGACAGGGTCTCACTATGTAGCCCTGGCTGTCCTGGAACTTACTATGTAGACCAGGCTGGTCTCCAAACTCTCAGAGATCCTCCTGCCTCTGCCTCCCCAGTTTTGGGATCAAAGGTGTACACCATCATGCCTGACTCCACTGAGCTTTTTAATAAGTTTATTGAGTTTTCCATTTTCAGCATCACTTCTGATTATGTTTTCTTAAACTCTATTTTTATGCCTTGTATTGACTGTATTATTTCACTGTCTTTTTAGTCTTTGACTTTTTGAATTGTGTGACCATGGTTATAATGATTCTATTGAATCATTTAGGAGTTCTTCCAGGTCATTTTTCAATAGGGGCCGTTACTGTGGTGTTTGCATATTTTTTTCTTTTTGGTGGAGATGCATTATTTTTTGGTTATTTGTGTTGTTTTCATTTCCAAGTTGGGATGTGTACATCTGGAATTGGTCATCCGTTGAGTTTGTTTGTTTGTTTAGGCTGTCTTCTTTTTGGCAGAGGTGTTTACAGTGTTCAGGAGGGAGCTGATTCACAGCAGGTTAGGATGTCGATTTTCTCTGTCTGGTGTTGGGGCTACAACCTCTATCCCATGTTTTCTGGTTGTCATCTATAATCTAAGGTCTGCATCAGCTTGGCTGATTTGTGAACTGGTCCTGGGTCTCAGGCTAGGTAGGAAAACTAGAGGGTCAGTTAGACAGCTGACAGGGCACTGGTGAGTCCCAAAGAATAAAGGCACCTGGATCTCCCAGCCAGTGTGGTGGTTGGAGAGTTCCTCCTGGGGAGCAGGCTGAGAACTGGTGAGTCTCAAAGGGCGAAAAGGGGTCAGGAGGAGGTAGCAGCTCCTAGCTAGCAGCTGTGGGGCAGCTGGGCAAAAGGAAGGGTCCTGGGAAGTGGAGCACAGGTCTTCTCCCTGAGTCTCCTGCATTGTGGGCAGGTTCTTCATATTGGTTTATTATTTGTGTGTGTGTGTGTGTGTGTGTGTGTGTATTTGTTTGACACAGGCTTTCTCAGTGAACTTGGAGGTAGGTGAGAGTCACCTGACATAGTTGTTGTATACACTTTTGATTCACACTTCCCTGGTGGATAAATGTAATGAATTTTTCATGTATTTACTCCTCATTTGCACTTCTTTTCAGGACTCTGGTCCATACATTTGCCTGTTATTGCCCAGATGATTTGAGGCTCTCTTGCTATCTGATTCACTTTTTGAACACTTTCTATAGACTATGTGTTAATTCCTTTTCAGAAGTGTATCTGGCAACCTTCCCGCCCATTCTGGCTGACTCTTCACTCTGTTGTTTCCTTTGCTGTGCAGAAACTTCTCAGTTTCATGCAATCCCATCTGCCAATTCTTTTCTTTCTTTCTTTTTTGGTTTCTCTAGTCAGGGTTTCTCTGTGTCTCCCTGGCTGTCCTGGAACCCACTCTGTAGACCAGGCTGTCCTCTAACTCACAGAGATCCTCCTGCCTCTGCTTCCCAAGTGTTGGGATTAAAGGCTTGTGCCACCACTGTTCGGCTTCATCTGCCAATTCTTGTTATGATTTCTGAGGCAGTGGAATCCATTCCAGAAAGTCCTTGCTGCTGCAGGTATCTTGAAGTTTCTTCCTTCGAAAGTTTCCAAGTTTCAGGTTTACATGGATTCTTGGGCAAATGACAAATAGGGACTTAGTTCTGTTCTTCTATTCAGTTTCCCCATGAACATTTGTCAAAGAGGCCATCTTTACTCGGATGCATTTTGGCAATGCATTTTTGGTCACAGATTAACTGTAGCTGCTCAGTTTATCTCTAGGTCCTTTGTTCTGTTGCACTGGTTTGAATGTCTGTGTCTTACAAGTTGTTGTAAGGTTTGTTGTTAGGTTTGCTCTTAGGGATATTTGACATGGAGCATGGTGATTCCTCCAGCATTTCTCTTTCTGCTCAGGGTCACCTTGGCCATTTGGGATTTCGTTTGCTTCTGTGAGAATGTAGTGTTTTCTATTTCTCTTCACAGAAACATTTTTGGAATTTTGGTCCCCATTTTACACTGATGTTTAGATCATCTTTGGTAATATAGATATTTTTACAGTATTAAGTCTGCCAGTCTGTGCACCTGGAACTTCTTTTTTATCTGGTGTTTTTATTTAGGTCCTTACTTCAGTGTTATAAAGTTTATTTTTAGTATATATATATGTGTGTGTGTGTGTGTGTGTGTGTGTGTGTGTGTGTGTGTGTGTATGATGTGTGCTTGTGTGCATAAGTGCACACATGTGTTTCTGCAAGCCATGGTGCACATGTGGAGGTCAGAGGATAATTTTGGAAGCCAACTCTCCTCTTTCAGCCCAGGTTGCCAGGTTTGGGTGGCAGGGCTTTGACTCTCCATGCCATCTCTACAGCTGTGCTTTTATGTTTTGATTTAAGTCTCCCACATTGTTGTTCAACTTACTCTTAATTTTATTAGTTTTTTATTATTTTTAGATGTTTTGTTTATTTATTAAGCTATTATATGTTGGATTGTTGCCCTGATATCTTTAAAGTGTTTCCAATTATATTTTTGTCTTTCAAGATTATTTTGAATACTCTATTTTGTCTTTTTAAAACTGTACTTCTGTAGTTTTTAATGGAGGGCATCTCTCCAAGGCCAGGAGCATTTTAGAGGCTATGCTATCTTTGTTTTTTTGTGCAGGGGTCCTGGGGTTTCCAGACCGCCTTGCATTAAGGAATCCAGGCCCTTGAGCTCCTGTTCCCTGGGAAGAGGATGTGGGTTCCAGGCTGAGAGCAGCATGTGCTTTGGCAGTTTCACATATTGGTCTTTCTGCATCACTGCCACATGTTTCTCCCTGCAGCTGCATCTCTACAGGCCTTGGGCTATGTGAAGAGATACTCTGGCAGATTTATGATCTCTGTTGGGCAGCAGGACTGGGCAGGGTGAGTACACTGGGACATGCTGGGCCTGGAGCCCTGACTCAGGAGATGTCCTTCAGGAAGGATGGCCTGTGTGGATGTCTTCTGCTGTGGACTGGAGGGAGCTGGCAGTCCTGGTGTTCCACATGCTTTCTCAGCTCTCCAGCTGAGAATTTGGCCCTGAGTTGGTGCTGTCCCTGCAGAAGGCTGAGGTAGACAAGGATGGCCATAGGCGGGTCTCATCTCCCAGACAGATGTGGACAAACTGGGGAGGAAATGAGTCAGTCTGTCTCTGTCTTGCCCATGGCAGTGGTATAGGTTACAGAAAAGCTGTAACAATGCCAGGAGTCATGTGTGTGGAGCTGGGTATCAGTCACTGCAGCTGGATGCTGGACAGTTTTCTCCTCCCCAGAGCTCTGGCACTAACAGTGTCACTCCCTCCATGTGGCAGTTCTCACAGAGACATAATGCCAAACAACTCTAAGGTGCAGACAGTCCCACAAGAGTGACCATGCCAAAGTATCCACAGGGACAGGTTTGCTGAGAGAACCAGCATTTAGCAAGTCAGAGAAATGAGAGAGGAGGTGTTTCTTTGGCGATAGTGCATTAACACCCAGGAGATATCATCTGAGGGGGTCAAAGCTTAATTCTTCATTTCAGTTTTCTCTTTCTGCTGCTTCTTTTCTTCCTGTGTTATATTCTTCTTCACTACTGTTTCCCTTCTTCTTCCCTGATGTTTCCTTCTTCCTCCCTGATGTTTCCCTTCTTCTTCCCTGATGTTTCCCTTCTATGTTCTTTATTTTCCTCTCATCCTTTTATACCTCCTAAGACAAAAATTTCTACAAAAGAAGAGATTACCTCACAATCACAAGTTATATATTTTCCAAAAACAAATGAAAATCTTTACACATAGAGAAATCACAGTATGATAACAAGTTTCATGTTTTCCTTCAAGCCCACAAGGACTTAAACATTTTTATTATGTTAATTTCCCTCCATAACATCTTTACCCCAAAGCAATGACTATTTTATAATTGGTTAACAAGGCTTTAAGGAAGCCGTATATATTTCAGCCTGTTCCTTTTATTGGCAGGAAGCTGCTTGCGATTTCAGTGTAGTAGATACCTACAAACTTCATTCCTGTGTCCAGCTAACTGTCTGTCTTTGTTTGCATACAATAGGGGCATTTAATTTATTTTCACAACTTTGCCTTTTCAAGCGACATCCCAGGGCCTGTGATTAATTCTGTAAGGTACATGACCGAGAAACTCAGGCCTAACCTTGGGTGTAGGGACATAATTACCTTCTTTAATCATCAGAGTGTTTTCAAACAGGCAGCATCCATGGGCTTATAATGCAGGGGACCTCCTTGCTTTCAGTTTTTATCCTCTGCAAATCCCACATCTAACCAAGGGGAAGGTGACTTCTAACCTATTTTTGTCTTTTTTTTTTTCTTTCTGTTTTTGGATCAATTGGCGGAATAACCCAAACTATTTCCCTAATCATCTTCACTACCTGTCTTAGTCACCTGTATCTTTTAGGCTGGCTGAGAATGTTCAATCAAATCATTGATCTAACTAAGCATCCTTGCTTTTATAAAAATCATCTTCATTATGATCTGAAAGTAAAATGCCCAGTGAGGAGTGGGATTTTCCCAAGAAACAATCCCATTATTGTTGGAGAATATGATTTTTTCCCCCTGAATGCAAAAGCAAGGTTTAATTCTGGATATCCAAAAGCAATACAAGCCTAGGCAGGGACTTTGTCCAATACATCCAATGCAGTGGAGGCTGGAGGAAGTGCCCACCTATCTGCAAGCTCAGTTTTTAAAGGGAAAAACCACAAGGTTATATCATTTAGGGGTGCTAGTACGGGTACAATTTCGATTGGCTCGCTTCTAGGGGCTTTCTAGAAATCATTCTTAATCTTAATTCTAAGGGGGTGGTTGCCCGCCACCATTGCTCATTGGCTGCCCTCAGATGGGGACATTTTTATGGTCAGTTACCCTGGAAACCAGGGTTGGAACATTCTATAGCCCGGCAGTAATTACCTCGTGACTACCTTGTGACTTTTACACTTGCTGGTTTCTGGAATCTGGACTGACTTGTTTCAGTAATTATTGGCCTATTCCTAGAAGGAGAAATCATAGGCCTTAGTTTTTGGGTGAAAGCATTTGGGTCTTATTTCTAAGATGGCTCATTTTGGTCTCACATTTCCCCCTTCTCATGTGCCTAATGGAACCCAATCATGAGTTTGGGGCAGTTAAGTATCCCACTCTAATAATGGCCATGTATAGTTAGCCATCTTGTTTCTATGCCAGGGAAGTTTTCTTTTGACCAAGCATTTCAGTCTTTTCTGAACAGGGAACATGGGACGATGTATTCTCTTCTGGAACTGTTTCGAGCTGGCATTGGGGTGCCGTTGTTAGGGTCCCCAAAAGGCTGAAAGCTAGTTAAAGACTGGGCAAGGGGACATTTGTCAGAAGCATGTAGCTGCCTGACCCCATAGGGACAGGGAAGCATGTTAACTGGGCTGGTCCACATCAGCTTTTAGCAAGTCCAGAGCTCACATTCATCTGGAGCAGTGTAGTCAGCAACTGAAGCTTGGAGGTGACTGCCAGCCAAGTGGAAATCTGTTGAGGCAAACTTAAACTAGGAACAGAAGTTAAAATTTATGAACTTATTTGGAACCCTTAGTTCCATACCCTTAGTAATGGGAAAAGTAGTAGTCCCAAGACCAGGAGAGAGGAAAAATATCATCTTTAGGAATACTTATCTGGGGTCCTTTTGACCTCTGTGAAGTGGGTCTAGGTTTTCAATGACTCTTTTGATCCTTTGAGGCCTACTTAAAGAATGACATAAAAGTTTTAGATACATTAGTATTACCAATCTGTACTGAAATCTATATTGTAGACAAAGCAGGTAATGGGTATCTTATAAAACAGCAGAAGTTGACTCATACTTTTGAGTCCCAACAAGAACTACAGATTTGGGTTAAAAGCTTGTGCATTTTCCTTCTGTCCAGAAAGCCAGATATAAATTGGACAGAGATTTTTGACCTGATGAGAAGCACTTTCAGGTTTACATTTAGATATATTTAGATGACACCTAAAATAAATCTAAAATGTTGAGCTTGTGGTTGAACAGTAAGTAGTCATTGCTCTACCAGCTCATCAGGACACCTAAATGTTAAGCTGTGAACCATAGAACAGGAGAGCAATCTGAAACATATCTCATCCTAAATTATTTTTTTTGAGATCCTCAAAGCTTAGGAGCTTTTCTGTCCTCAGACCTTTCTTAGACTCATATCTGAACCTTTATGACTTACTTAAACTTTTATATCTTAGAACATTTTCCTAAAAGTGAGCTAATGAGCTAGCTCTGGCCTTTCAGAAGGATCTGGTTGATGCTGCCATGTTGACAAAGTTAGAACTTGCCTAGCCATCAGTACTATCAGAAATCTGAGAAGGATAAACTATATCTGAGTACAGACCAAGAAGCTTCCAGTTCTATAAATTACAGGGACCAAACCCTACCCAGGTCTCCATAGTGTTGGAGGCACCAGTTGGAACAGCATCAATCTTCTCTCACCATCTGGCCTATTACGATCCTGTTTCCTGACTTCAGCACCAGTGGTCCATCACAAGCTTCCGTTCAGCTCCTTCACCAGGCTCTAATGTGAACATCACTTCTCCATCAGGCTGAGGGATGCTTCAGAAGAGACAGTGTTGCTCCCGAATGAACTGTCCAGTCAACTTGATGTCCACATCTACCTGGCCAGCCCTGGTGACACCATGTTTGATGTGGTAGAGAAGATACTCAGACATCAAGGGGTCCTCATTCAGATTTATTAGATGGGGAGTCTCTCTCTCTCTCTCTCTCTCTCTCTCTCTCTCTCTCTCTCTCTCTCTCTCTCTCT